CTACTCGCTTTTATTTAACAGAACCAGATGACTTGGTTCCTAAACCAGCATCGGACCCCAACCTAGCAGAACCCGACGATGCAGAGGACCTAGAGGAAAAGATAACTGACAGGGAGCAAAAAATAAAACATAAAATGTTGGAGGAGAAAAGGCAAAAAGCAATTGAGAAAAAAAATAGTCCCTTTATTGAAGACAAACCTGAAGGTGATCCTAATCTTGAGCATACGGTTGCTAGGCAGAAATCAGACTCGCGAATCATGCACATAAAAGTGCCAAAAGGAGATGAAATTCTGCCTCCAGGTACTCCTCGGTGGGTATACAGAATAACGGGAAAGGGATTTCGAAAATTCGCCAAGGATCCGGATACATCAGCTGTAGTCTATTTTTGTAAGCATCCGGATACATTTATATTGTCATTTGCAAAACTCCTCACATCTTAGTTAGGGATTGCTACTATCAATGATGAATCTTAAGCTTATTTACTCAGACACTGCGCCACAGCAAGCCCTTACTATTGGTTTCCTGGGCAATGTAAAGGCATCAGACTATGATGACTATTTATATATGCGTGAAACTCCAAAATAATGTCGAATGTCTTATTCGGAATGGGATAGGGTATGCATATAGCAAAGCATCTCTTATGGCTCATTATAGGATTTGACGCTCCATTTGGGGGATGCAATATAAATAACCATTTTCTCTCGGTGTTTATCATGAAATCAAAATAAAATACCCCTCGTTAATTAAAAAAATGCATGTTTAGTCTGTAGAGGGCTACGCAATTCAAAGTATTTTTAGTAGTTGATTCAGGCACTTGTGGATAATGTACAGTTTATAAGAAGACGGATATCAATCAATTACATTTTGATATGAATCACTGAATATACATAGTTCATTGTCCACACGTAATCGCCTCTTATTTGAACTTCTTAATACTTAACGTTTTCGTATCACGAGCGGATAGTGGTTTTCTCTTGGCTTCATTTCCTTCAGACCCCATGGTTAGACCCGGACTCGCAGCAAAAAGACTTAGACACATAAACTCCACTTACCCAATACTTGGTCCCGTTGCCAAGACAAGAAGCGGTCGTATATCTCCATCTGTGGTGGTGAGGCTACTCGCATTTGAGTTATTTACTACTATCATAATGATGCTAGAAATGACGGTCAGCTACTCCCGTTTTCTTTTTTTGTCGTAAATTGGCCTCAAGCGATGAGTGGCGAATAGACGCTACCATAAAAACGAGGCTGTAAAGGGCTCATGTCATTGAGTTCTTGGCTAGAAAAATTTTAGATCTATTTTTGCTTGGGGAGACAGTGTGTGATATTTGCATTTAGGGGTATTCATGCGCTCGGCATAGGGCAAGTCTAAAGCAAAGGAAGGTATGTAACTAAATAAAGGATTTTTCTGAGCAATTCTATTCTAGGTCTGTACTGTACACTGATTGATCGGCAAATTAAGTTAAAGAGGATTGCCAGCTACAGAAGGCCTACGAATGGAAGCCGATTAGGCGACTTCTGGACTATTTCGCCTTAGTGGACAAAACCGAACATAGAGACAACTATATAAAACATCATCACTGCTTATGTCTAATGGATCCTAAAGTGAGGTTTAAGTAATGAGCTCCGGGTGGAGAATTGGGTCACTTAACGTGACCAAAGCAATGTGGAGAACAAGAATTGGATTGAGTCATTACAGACATAAAGGGAAACAGGGTTTAGGGGGACTTTAATTTCGCATGAAAATGAATGAAGAAGAGATTCGTTGGTCGATCTCACCAGATGAGGACTGATGAATCTCGTTGTACTGCAGGCGTTTGGCTTTTATACCATATTCATTTAGACGCAGTCTGCAAGACTTCCTCCCTGGTTTCGGATGAAAACGTGCTGAGCTTTCGTCCATCATATGATGGACATTATCAGAGCTGGGTTTCATTCTTGTAAAAGTCTTACGTTAAACTAGAGCAAGAACACTATCCGGCTCTATCTTACTTCTTATATAGACTCAATCAAGCCAAAAATTAAAAATTAAAAACCTAGATAGATCGATATAGAGTAGTTTGGTTAATTTTCTTTCATACTGGTCCTGTTATTATTGCTCGATTGTATGAGTATGTGTATGTGTGCGTGTTGGCTTCTATATGCAATATGGTTCCTAAATCAGGTTGTCAAAATTTTAATCTTAGGCTCTGATCCTCAAGATCTAATGATCGGAGAGTAAGCCTTGAATGAGACTGCGTAGGTCCGTAAACAACTATGGTTGAGATAATGAGATATAAGCTTGCAAGCATGAAAATCAAGTTACGAAATCATTTGCCCTAACCTTTCAGTCTAGGATCATTAACGTTCAACACTCCAAGGAAAGGCAAGACTGAGGTTGCGTAATGGGACATGTCTGGTTTGGTTGATGAGCTTACTCTAGCATGCTAGACGAATGTGAGTGAAATTGGAACCATCACCAAGCAGACAAATTGAGCCGCCTTCTTTTGGATCATAGACTGAAAGGTTAGGACAAATGATTTCGTAACTTGATTTTCATCCTCACAAGCTCATATCTCAATATCTCAACCATACTTGTTTACGGACCGACACAGTCTCAGTCAAGATCTTCTCTTGGTTCATTAGGTCTTGAGGATCAGAACCTGAGATTATACCTTAGACAACTCTGATTTGGGAACCGTATTGCATATAGACGCTAACACACACGAATATACATACTCATACAATCGAGCAAAAATAATAGGACCCGTTTGAAAGAATATTTACCAAACCATTCTATATCGATCTATATGGGTTTTTAATTTTTATTTGGCTCGATTGAGTCTATATAAGAAGTAAGATAGAGCCGGATAGTGTTCTTGTCCTAGTGTAAACGTGAGTCATTACAAACATTTAATCCTAAGGGGTCTTAAGTTAAGGATATATATGATATTTATTTTATGTACAACAATGTAAAATTTAACTTTAATTTTCCTCTTGAGACGTCAGACTCACAATTTATACTATTTTTGGCCACATCTTCAACTGAATCCCACAGTTGGAAATTGGTGTCTAACCTGCAACCACTCAATCCATAACCGGTTGCCTCAGCTGGCTCTTCACTATGCGCGACGCGGCCGCAGGGACCTCATCTTCGGCTTCACGGACTATACTTTGAATGAGTACCCGGGCCTGAAGTCCAGATTGATGCCACACCTTAAATTGTTCCCGAAGAATTCCGATGATGAGATAGACTTTGAAGGTGACGAAAAGTACCGACATATGAAAGTCTTCATTGAGAGCATGGGAAAAAATCAAATGGCTGACGTGGTAGGTTATCACATTGAGGCTTCTGAATCAAAGGCGGTACCTTAAATTAGTGTCTCAATTATGGGAGTGTTTAACTGGCAAAAATGTATCACTATCTATTTCCTAGGCTGTAGCCTCGAACAGGAATGAGATTCAATATAATCTTACTTAAGTAGTAGCCAATACAGTAGTTGGTATTTTACAAGGCCTCTTTATTTCAAAGCCCCAAAGCATGCTATTTTTGTGACATATTAAAACCATCGATGAAAAATGAACTTCTAAGTAACTCACTTTAATAATTTTAAATAAGAAAGACTACACTTTCGAATATGCAGGAAAGCAAACTTTGGATTCTTCTACGAACGCAGACCTATGCTATCAATTAAAATATTCTTACAGCTCGTTTTTAATGCCAAAACTAGGTAAAAGCATTATTTACCAGTACTGAACTGAAAATTTCTTGCAGAAAAATGTATAACTGCAGTTTTTACTACAAATACTATAGCAGTCTTTGCTAAATTTACCTTTTGACTTTAGTGGGACCTGGATCAAATGAAAATGTGGGGTGCAGAATTGTGGTAAGATATGATCTCTAGAGTGCAGAAAGTGTAAAAGATTAGGTTTCGGTTGCAGAGGTAATTATTATCTGAGTTTGTTGAGAACTCGTATAGTGAAGAAGGGTACCACTAGATTGCTGAGCAGAGATGTATGGTGAACCTTCCGAAAGTCAGAAAGTCAGGCGTCGCTATTATCTACGGGTAATGGGATGATAGGAGAGACGACTGTGGTGGTATGGAAATAAGGTGAAAATGATATCGGCAGCGAGGAGGCTCTATATTCATGGTCCCATCCCGTGGAAATTAGATTGGACTATGGACGGATTCCGATTTGTTTAGAGGACCGACCTCGTTTTGGGTCAGGAGGTGTAGTATGATTGACAATCATAGTGCATGACTGATACCTAGACCTGAAGATTTTGCCACACAGTTAATGTGTGCTTGGGTGGGAATAGTTGGCGCGAACGGCCTCCTGAAGGAGACGGTTCATTCGGTTTCAGTCGGCTGTTTTATTAATTATCTCAATTCACAAAGACGACACATAAAGAGGAAAAAGGTCCTGTTTCTTATAAAGAAACTAACTAATGCAATGAGGCTACGTTACTCCACATCCAAGTGCACTAAGCCAAGCAGGCATTCTTCACCAAATTGATAGCAAATTAGTTTTCGGTGGCTTCTGATTTACTTCGAGATATTCTCACTTCTGTTATTCGCTGTTCTTGCTTCATTCATATCGGGATTATCTGAAGCAGGAAAGACGGTCTCAACTTGCTCGATCTAAAAATTTATGAGGATAAATATAATCAATATATCCCTATTCTTCATTATGAATTCAGCAAATTATTTGAGAAAGTACTAATTACTATGAGAAAAATATGCCGCTGATATTGAGATTAAGAAAACCAAGGTATTTTTAAATGCAATATCATTTGCTGCACTTTTACATAGATAGTGTAAAGACCGTGTGAGAGAAGAGAGGACTATGATCTAGATTAACGAGACCCTGGTTACTTCAGGATACGGGTTAGAACTCGTTTTGTCGGAAATATAGTCTTATACATAAGCATACTTCCTCTCTAATCGGATATGGAAACACTACACGTCAAACCAAACCACTAGCAATGACACTTACTTATGGAATAGTTTCACTCTGATTTACGTTTGCAGTCAAAACCAGGATAATTACGCCTATCTGCACACTGAGTCCCTTAATAAAAGGATATATATCAACAAGTAACATCGCTAAACTAGACAAAATTGTATTAGAATGTCGTTGGGATTCATTTATGCTTGGTTTTATAATGGTAAGGCCATTAGTGGAAAATTATCAGATTAAAATGTGTTTTCTGTGCCATATGTGTGCTTTTCTTGACCAAAGATAATAAATAAAATATAGTTGGATTTGCCTTAGCAAATCAAGTAACCTTCGACTGAAGGATAAGTCAAACTTACATTGAAACTGAGGACTAAGCGAATTAGCTATACAAACCTCAATTTCCTCTCAGATTATAAAAAAGTATGCTCTTACTTCTTAGCAGGGAACATTGTAGTCTCCTGTGAAACAATGTTTTCTCATTCCTGGCTGATTATCTATTTATTTTATATGAATGTCTTTCTTATTTTTTATTATTCTCATATGCTTTATCACAGAGCAACTTAAGAGACTTTTATATCGGAACTTGCCAGAGTTGGTGAAGAAATTGTTTGCAACAAGGTCGTTACGACGCGTCAAATATATTAAATTAATCATATTTGGACTCTGAACCTTGTTTATAAATAAGTCAAACAACATTAGATTATTGTATACCTATTTAATACCATAAAGCATTCTTTTTCTTCCAGGCTGCACCAAGAGACCCCGAAGACACGGATATCGATCAGCCATTGAGTAAAGAGGAAGGATTAGTCAAAGACGAAGGACTAGTCAAAGACGAAAGACTAGTCAAAGACGAAGGACTAGTCAAAGACGAACTTTAAAGTATTGCAATATAAGTGGTCCTCTAGGATATCACTTACTTCTGATGTTAAATCTGATAGATTTTTTTATTTTAAACAAGATACTTTCTACTGCGCTTCTCAGGAATGCAGTGTAGTGTCAATCTTAAAGCCTTACAATTATAATAAGGTCGATCGGCTCTCGTAAAATTATGAAAACATTCCAGTTATGCCTTCGTTATTACAGATAATTTTTCTATAACTTTGGTCTTCCAAATTATTGCTTTCTACCGCCGATTATGCTAACTGCACCATGGGCGTAGCTTTAGCTCAAACAAATATATTTTAAAGGTATGAAGACCAAGCTGATGTAGCCTTTTGTGTGGTCTCAGTCTCCTTTCGTTGTATAGAG